TATATATATATATATATACACACGTTGACTTTTGTTGACCAGGCCGGGCCGGGCCTATAACCGGTTCCGGTCTTAACCGGTCTCGGTCCTAAAAAACGTTAAAATCCATAACCGGCGGTCCACAACCGGTCCATACCGGTCCCGGGCCGGTTCCGGTCCCGGGCCGGTTCCGGTCCCTCTCTAGTCCCGGTTTCGGTCCTCCGGCAGTTACGGGCTGGGCCGGGCCCATTTGGCCATCTCTAACAGGAGGTCATCCGACTCAATATCAACCGACTAATCTAATTAGAATTGATCGATCATTACCGGATATGCAATTGTAATTGGATCAGATCGAATCCAAAATTCGGTCGGTTCTTGGATGGCAGTCCAACATCCAATAAAACCGAACTGATCCAATCAAATGACCATCCAACCAACATCCAATTAATAAATATATATAATTATTAACAATTTACGATATTGTTTTTTAATTGATATTTATGTACATTGCTTTTTAATAACTTAAAATTGGTTGAGTATTGGATCAAAAGATTGGATGAATCTAATCCGGTCCAACGGATAAGCAATAGTACATCCAACTAATGGAATCGATCTGATCCAATCATTCACTGGATTTGGATCGGATCGGATGTCCAATGTTAATCGGATGACAAAATCCAACATCCAATGGATGATTGGATCGAATTGGATCCACCTAAATCTATTGGATCTCAACCGCTTTACACCCTATCTAAGGCTATTCCCTTGTTTATTCTCAAGTCTCGAGATTCAAATGATTTCAATTTTTAGGTACAATCAAGGCCTTACGATTTTAAACTTCAATCGCCTTTATATAACTTTAATTGACGCTCTCTCAATTGAAACTTTTCATCTTTTTGGATTAAGGTCACGCCATCGTGGATTTTATTATAGGTTTTTTTTATTTATTTATAATTTATTGGATTGTAAGCGTAAAACGCTAGGTACAAACAACATAAACTGCATCGCACCATACCGCATTTTGCAGTTCGAGATATACACGGTACGGTTTGCGGTTTGGGAAAATGCTCAAACCATGTATGTCGTGTGGTTTGCTGTTTGGCCTTAAACCACACCAAATCGTACTGCAAACACCCCTACCTAAGATTATAAAATTATAAAACAGTGATACGTTTTCTCGAATGAAATTGAACTATAGGTTACAAGAACCTCGTTTTCGGTCAAACATGCAAATCCAATCGATATGTTTGGAATACCACTAGGTAACAAAGTAATAGATTGCTCGTAATGTTGTCGGGTTGGGTGATAAGTCAAAATGGATTAAACGTTAAGTATACGTCGGAGCCGACATTCTCGCTTCCGCTTCGTCCACTAACGCTCGCACGAGTGCTCCACTCTAAGACGAAACGCTCCCCTATCGATGTATTTTTACATCCCACAACTTCGGCAGATCGCTTAGCCCCGTTCATGGTCAAGCGGACATTTTTTTGCCTAGTTTTCTAATGTAAAAGTAATTAATATTAATATAATGAATAAAAAAGATATCAACATTTTACTATATTTATGACCGACTTTTAAACTATTCCACTAGTTTCATTGTAGTTCCTTTTGTATTTTGTGTTGTCCTTTCCCTTCTTGTCATGTATAAGGGGCTGTTTACCAAACGTTTATCCAGGTAAGCACTTACCAAGTCACATTATCTTACCGAATCAATATGACAAGGACCAAAAATCTTACACGATAAGAGCGAAAGCAAGGACTGAGGGTCTTACTCAATAAGTGACGTTGACGACCCTTACCACAGTTAGCTTACCAGGTTAGTTGTTGCATACGATACCGTTTTGGTGGACTAAAATCTTATCCGGTAAGTAATTGATAGTTTTGAATTTTTCCGGTAAGTACTTACCCGGGTAAGTGTTGGTAAACAGCCCCTAAGTCCTGTTTTTTTCTTCTTGTCACGTTAAGTCCTGTTTTTTTCTTTTTTAATATGTTGTTGTATTGCTATTTTTGATTTCTAGTCCAGACATTCTTGATGATTTAAATAACACGTTTCATACTTATCAACAGGAGAAAATTTATCTGTTTTAGAAAACGAATATGACCCATTTGTTAAAAAAAACCAGAAAAGTTCATCTTTTGAACGATAATTTAATTTTTTTTGTAAGGGTGTCCGGGCCAAAGCCCGACTAATCCCCGGCAAATTTGGAGGCTAAACATGGCCCCACTTAAATGTCGCCAACACTCCCCTCCCAGGGCTCGAACTCGGGTTCATGACTATGTCATGCCCAAACCTTTACCACTAGGCTGGAAGGTCTTTGACACGATAATTTAATTTCATCTCTTCTATTATTTTTATTATTTAACCGATAATTTAATTTTTACCAACATTATTCTTAATGGTAATATTATTATCAGGGTTTCATTTGAGAACCCATTGATAATTGGTGCATCATATGTTATTTCAAATGATTTTTATTTATGGCTTAGATTTAATATATTGATTAACATATATTTGTTTAACAATGTGAACATTTTTATCTGTTGTGTGAAACAAAAAGTACAACTAAAACCAAAGATATACGAAACAAACATATTATAAAACAAATGTATGTTAATCAATATATTAAATTCTAGACTCAGATAAAAAATATATCATGTAAAACAATACTTTACCATAATAATGTTTCACAGTTATTACAATATTTAGAGTTGTTAAATAATTAAACCCATATTATTATATCAGTAACTGTAATAGTGTAAAATTAAGGGGTTGTTAGTTTAACTCTTAATAGTTTCATTAAGAGGCAGTCTCTGAATTGTTAAGAAGTGAATCTTGTTTGACAAAAAAAATGAG